TCCGGGAGCCCCAGCAAGTCGCCCAGGACCCCCCAGGCGTGGAGGAGCTTGGGGCAGAACTCTCCGGCAAGGAAGGCCCGTTCACGTCCGTGGGGCTTCCTCCCTGGTAGAGGTCGGGCCTTTCCATGGCTCATCCCTGACAAGAGGCCTGGAGAGAGTCACCTAGTGGTTAGAGCGTGTTGGACTGTGGAGCTCAGGGAACCAGGCTCCGGGTTGGAGGTCGGGAAGTTCTCCCTGAGGTTATGACGCCTAGGAAATGGAATGGGCTTCCAAGGGGGGTGGTAGCGGCCCCATCAAGGAGGGTATTCAAGGAAAGAGTGGGCAACCTCGTGGTGGAGGTTGGGGGTCAGACTAGATGGCCTGGAAAGCCCCTTCTGACTCACTTTTTAAAAATGTTTCTATGTGTGGGGTTCAAGAGATCCGAGGTTTAGCTCCCATTTGTATTTTTGTATTTTTAATTTAATGTTTATATTTATTGTAATTTATATTATGATTACTTTTAATTTATTGTTGTAAGCCGCCCCGAGGCTTCGGCGAATGGGGCGGCATAAAAATGTTTTAATAAATAAATAAATAAATAAATAAATTTGGCCATGTAGCTCACTTGGTGACTTTGGGCCAGTTGTTGGTTCTTCCCCTTTCCTCATTTCTAGAGCAGTTTTGAGGGTAAAATGGAGAGGAGAATTTGCTTACGTGTAGGGGGGGAAAGGCAGGATTTAATATATAAATACTAATGGGTGTTTTCAGTTGGACTAAACACTACAACAACATCAAAGAACAGCTGGGTTCAACGAGAGAGTGGGTTATTGTTTCTTGGAACCAGAATGTGACTGTAGACATTGATTGCTCCTGCTAAAGGCATAGTTTCAAGAAAATTTAAGTTTGTTTGGAAGACAGAATCTGTAAAGTTTATTCCACTAACTCTGAAAATAAAACCACCTTCAACTGCTGGGTGTTACTTGTCTCTGAACCAAACGTTTTGGACAAGAAGAGAAGGACTTGCTAAGTAGCTGGCCTTAATTTCCTCCTAGAAAAGAGACAAAAATAAGCATTTAAGATATGGTAATGCCAGGGAAATACAAGAGCCTGATGCTTAGCCTTGCCTTATATTTCCTTTCCTTTTAAAGTTTATATACATTTAATCTTTATGACTCTCTAAGAAAATAGAAGCTTTCTTGGGATAGCTTCCAGCCCCAGGTCACCTGCTTCCCAGTCTTCCAGAATAGGGGAGGAAAGGAAAACCAGAGACAAAAGTTGTTCCAATTACGGGGTTTTAGAAAACTTCTTCAGTCTAATCACGCTTTTAGCAGCCATATTGTGGAAAAGTTTTTGTTCATTTTGTTGTGATGGTAGCCCTCTATGTGGAGGGTTTAAAATATCTCCTTGGTTATCTAGGAGGCTGAGGGTCATCTGAAGAATTCACATTTCTTCTTTGCTGTTTTTACTGCATTTTAAGCTGTTAATTCATTTTAAATTCTTTTTAGCATTGCTGTTTTAATACACAGCTGAAAACCACTCAAGAGAGTTCGGCTATGGGGCAATTTGTTCTTAGTTGCAAAGTCGTGTCTGACCCATCGTGACCCCATGGACAACACTTCTCCAGCCCTTCCTGACCTCCACCATCCCCCGAAGTCCACCTAAGCTCACTGCTTCAGGGACTCCATCTAACAACCTCATCCTCTGCTGTCCCCTCCTTCTTTTGCCGTCAATTGTTCCCAGCATTAGGCTCTTCTCCAGGGAGTATTAGGTGGCCAAAGTATTTGAGTTTCATCTTCAGTTTCTGGCTTTCTAAAGAGCAGTCAGGGTTGATCTCTAAGACTGACTGGGGCAATATAGAAATGAAATTAGTATATTATATGCTAATTATAATAAGAGGCATGTAGCTACCTGGGCCTATAGCCACTCCTAGCCATCACTTTCATGAAATTTGTCTAATCCCCTTTTCAAGCTGTCCAAGTTGCTGACCATCATGATATCTCATGGAAGAGAATTCAATACTTTAGTAATGTACTATTTGAAGAAGTTCTTCTCTCAGTCCCCCTGCTTCATGGGATGACCCCTTTATAAGAGGGAGGAAAATCTCTCCGCTTTCTCCCCATGATACATCATTTCACACACCTTTGTCAAGCTCCCCCGTTTCTGATACGGAAGCTGCCCCAGCCTCTTGCTCATTTTGGTGGCTCTTTTCTGTCCTTTTCCCAATTCTGCAATACCCCCTTTTAGGCACAGCAACAAAACTAGTGTCATAAGTGCAGTTGTACCACAGAGTTGTACAGCGGCTGTATGATCTTGGCAGCTTGATTTTCAATTCCTTTCCTAATTCCGCCCAACACGGCCATGCATTGGCTTGACATTTTCATCAAGGGGTCCATCACAGCTGGCTCGTCACTCTTCTGGCTTAGACCAGAGTCAGAATCAGAAGGAAGAGCTGCTGATGCTTCTTGTACCTGCTCTCTGCCTGTCAAAGCAGCAGGTGGCGGCCATGAGGAGGAGGAGGAAGAGGAAGAGCGCAAGCCTCTGCACAGGGTCCTCTGTGCATCTTGCCCAAGGACGCTCAAAAACCTGGTGCAGGTACTGCTCGGAATAAAATGACACTTGTGGCATTTAAACAATGCATTTGGCTTGTTTGCTCAAAACCCGGCTGACTGCACCGAGGACTCCTAATCTGGGAATGGGGCCAACAGTGCAGGCGTTTTGCCTCTGGACGGCTAAAGAGTTAAAGTGATAAAGGGGAGCGCCTAGAGCGGCCTGGAAATGTTAGGAAGGCTGATGGGAAAGAGCCTCTTCGTGGTCCGCCCCCTTGGTCCAGGGAAGCCAACTTCTGAATGGCTGCAGGAGGTGAGTTGCAGCCGCTGTCAGACGAAGAAAGGGAACAGTGGCGGGGGGAGAAATGGGAGCACATTGGGAGGGGGAAACCCTATCCTGCTTCCTATGGACTATTAAGTTTCCCAGTCATATTTTTGCTGGCATTGCTCCGTGTTCCAAATCCCACGGAGGAATTGCACTGTTGTCTTCCTTTCTGCAAGCAGCAAGAAATTCCAAGGGCGATGCTCTGCGGATTGACCAGCCTTTATTCAAGGGCGGATGAGGGACTCAGGTGTCTTTATCGTTCCTGTTTCGTAGTGCATGTTAAGACAGAAAGATTCCTAGCACCCCGTGCTGGAAAGGACAGGACTTTTTTCTGACTAGATATGCATAGGTTTGTACCCTTCCTTGTTCAACTATATAAGCCTAGGGCAGCTCAAAGTCAGCCGTCTCTCCTATAAGGCGCTGGATTTATGAATTATATTTGTAGCCTGCTTTTTTTTTTCTTCCAAGGAAATAAAGATGGTTCACATCATTCTCTTCCTCCTCCTCTCCATCCTACTGTTACAACAACAACCCTGTGAGGTAGGTTGGGCTGAGAGTGGCGACTCCCAGTGAGTCAAAGTCACCCAGTGAGCTTGTAACAGAAAGCCAGTCACAGTGCTCCACTCCCCTGGCCAATTGGGCCCAATCCTTTCCAGTAAATCCCTGGATGCAGCACACGACAATCCCAAGCTTGGGGAAACAAACAACTTTATGAAAAGGTACAAAATGGGAGTGGAGGGAAAAGGGTGAAAGAGAAGGAGAAAGGGGATTCGGATAGCAGCAACAAGAAAAGTCACAGCCAACCAAAGACTCCACTCCCAGGGCCTTGTTGACCCACTTGGACAAGAAAATATCGAGCAACTTCTAGCTTGGACATGGTAACTCTACCTTCTAACAGCACGGCCAATGCAGGATGCCACAGCAGTGTTCAAAACAGAGAAATGGCGGCAGGACAGAACCTCTCTTTAAGAGAGGAACAAAAGCTGCTCAACTCTTTGGGGTTCATTCCTCTGTAGTCCAAATCAACCAACAGTGGGGTGATGGCCTGACTCAGTCTCCTGGGTCCAGCCTTTCACTCCAGGTGCCAGTCCTTATCCAGTTCTCTCCTGCATCCTTGAAGCCAATTTGGAGAGGCACCTGCTGCTACTTTTTGAATTAACCCTTTCCCTACCTTTTGGAGCCTGAAGAGCTGGTTCACGTGGCTGAATAGGGATGAGAACCCAATACACCTGACTCCCTGACTCTCAGGATGGCACTCTTAACCAGTATACCACCCAGACTCTCACTGGGGGCTTTCAGAGGGTGGGCAGCCATCTGTTGGGATCCCTCTAGCTCAGCATTTCATGCATAAAGCAGGGGAGCTGATTTTGTTTTGACTTAATTCGGACTCTGTCTTCCTGCCAGGAAAAATGGCATTCAAGGTGTATTGAGATAGTTTACAAGGCCCTCCCACCTCTGGTTTTATACAATAGCCTTTCTCAACCTGGCTGGACATTCTGGGGGGATGCAGTCCAATCCATTGGGAGGCTCCCAAGTTGGAGAAGGCTGCTTTTCAACAATTTACAAGTAGTCTGATCTAGAATATGGGGTTGAAAGTTCGAAATTCCAATGTCTTTTCATGAGAAAGGCAGCACAACAACTGCCGTTATGGATTAGGTCAAAGGTCCCTCTTGCCTAAGATCAAGTTCCAAGGCCAACTGGGCAGCTTCATTTTGGAAGGTCACAAGCGTGGCACAAATGTGGCCCCTGTAAGTGTGACTTCAACATTTGTTAGCAAAGGTTTGCTGCTTCCTGACATGGACGCTCCATTTATCTAGCATAGCTAGTAGCTGTGGACAGAATTATTATTTTTTAGCTGTGGACAGAATTATGTAGCTGTGGACAGAACATGACATCATCATCATTATTCCATTCTTTAGTAAGATGCTTGTGATTCTTGCATGGATCACCCTTATTGATTTTTTATTTTTTTATTTATTAAAAGCTTTTGTATGCCATTCTATTATACAAAAATCTCAGGACGACTTACAATATTTAAAAGAACCTTTATAGTTATGCCTTTCCCTTTTTTTTAAATCTTAGCCCAAGTCTCCTTCCTGCAGTTATTCTTTGCTGTCCAGGCTTATGATAAGATTATTTCAGAATATCTTTTCTTCTTCAGAAAAGGGATCTATGCATAAAGATCACCAAGATTGTAAGCAGAAAAAAGAAAGTAGGTTCAGCATCAGCCAATGAAGATTTCTCAGCATCATGTAAACTCAGTTGCCACTGAGAAGCAACAGGAAAAGTGTCCAGGAATGGAAACGAATGAATCCTTTCTGTCTGGAGAAAGCTTCAAAAGCTTTCGTAAAACCCAAGTCAAGCAGGAGTTTGAGGAGGATAAAGTAAGGACTTCAGCTGAAGATGAGAAGAGCTCACACAGAACTGTATATACTAAAACCAGCATAGACAGGAAACCATATAAGTGTTCAGACTGTGAAAAGTCCTTCAGTATGAATGCTCATCTTATTAGTCATCAGAGAACCCACACAGGGGAGAGACCATATGAATGCTCAGTGTGTGGGAAAAGCTTCTTCCAGAAAGGACACCTCGTGGTTCATCAGAGAATCCACACAGAAGAGAAACCATACAAATGCTCAGAATGTGGGAAATCCTTTTGCAAGAACGCTGATCTTATCAGACACCAACGAAACCATTGTGGGGAGAAGCCATATAAGTGTTCAGACTGCGGGAAATCCTTCAGTATGCATGCTGACTTTATTCGACATTACAGAGCCCACACGGGAGAGAAAACATTTGAATGCTCAGACTGCGGAAAGAGCTGCGGCACAAAAAGCCACCTGGCAGCTCATCTGCGCATGCACACGGGAGAGAAACCGTTCACCTGTGCCATCTGTGGGAAGAGCTTCTCTCAGAAAGGTAACCTTGTTATTCATGAACGACTCCATGCAGAAGAGAAACCGTACAAATGCTCAGAATGCGGGAAGTCCTTCTGCAAAAATGCTGACCTTCTCAGACATCACCGAAACCATACAGGGGAGAAACCATATAAATGTTCGGACTGTGGGAGGTCTTTCAGCATGAACTCGGACTTCATTAGACACTACAGAACCCACACGGGAGACACTCGGTACAAGTGCTCTGAGTGTGGCAAAAATTTCAGTAAAAAATGCAATCTGGTTACACACGTAAGAAGCCACACAGGTGAGAAGCCATACAAATGTTTGGTCTGTGGGAAAAGCTTCTCCTTGAAAGGAAACCTTGTTGCACATGAGAAAACCCATAGGAAAGAGAGGCCATGTAAATGCTTGGACTGTGGGAGGTCCTTCAGCGTGAGCTCTAAACTTAATGAACATCAGAGACTTCACACACGAGAGAAGCCATACAAATGCTTGGACTGCGGGAAAAGCTTTCGTTGGATAGGAAACTTCACGGCACACATACAGTTCCACTCAGGAGAGAAGCCTTATGAGTGTTCCCTCTGTGGTAAATCCTTCATTGTACAACATGACCTCATTAGACATCAAAGGACCCACACAGGAGAAAAACCCTATGGATGCTTGGATTGTGGGAAAATGTTCAGTCAGAAGGGCAGCCTTGTTGCACATAAGAGAATTCACACAGGGGAGAAACCGTACAAATGTGCTGATTGTGGGAAAAGGTTTAATCTAAGCTCTTGCCTCCTCTGACACCAGCAAACCCATACAAGAGAGAAACCGTATCAGTGTGCCAATTGTGGGAAAAGTTTTGGTGTCAGTTCTCGACTTATAAAACATCAGCAAATCCACCCTTGAGAACAGCTACCTAAATGTCCAGATTGTGGGCACAGTTTCCTGTACAAAAAAGCACTGGTCAAGCATGTGTAAACACACTCGCAAAAGGACTTACGTCCGTGTTCAGAATGTGGGCAAAATTCCATTGATCTGTCTGGCTTCTGCATAAAAGGAGAAGGAAGTGTCCCAGTCTCCTCATTGTGATGAAAGCTGCATTGATATATCAACCGTTATTGTGCAGAAAATGTAAGAACACGTTTGTTGAAGAAGCTTCTATTTATTCTCACACGTTATATAGGTCAAAGATAAACTGGACTTGCTTTATCCAGCAGTTGTAGTTCAAAACATCTGGATGGCATCAGATTGGGCAAGGATGTGCTATAGGTCACACTTTAAAGTATAGCGCAAGAGAGTGCTTTCCTTCGTCTATCTGTGGGAAGAACCTCAGTCGGAGCGCACAATGTGCGCATCAGAGAAATCATGCAACCGTTCACAAATCAGTTGCTTTTCAGTGGTAAATCTTTATTCTTTCATATGTGACCTCACACCCTGCACCTTCTCCATGTAGAAGGGGAACCCAGTTCAGGCTATCCTACAAAATCAGATAAAATATGTAGAAAGCAGGGAAACAAACTTGATATTCTGATCTAATGCCACATTCTTTATACAGATAAATTCTCTGGATTCTTATCATAGGGTGATTTTGGTTCAAAGTCTCCTTTTAGTGATAAGACTAAAGACTGGCTAAAGACAAGTATACAAGAGCAACTAATCCCAGAAGAACACTACTTAACAATCATAATTGTTATTTATTTTATCTCTATACCACCCAGTAGCTGAGCGCTGAGTAGCACAGGATGACTCATAAAACTTAAGTAACTGTAAAAACATAATAAAAATTCACTAAACATTAAAACACACGTTGTTGTTCCTGTAACTTGAAACAGAACCTTTGTTAACTACATGTGCATTTACCAGCCTCAGTATAAGCCTGTGTTTTCTTTTCTTCGATGTCTGCCTGGTGTGTTTGAGGGGCATAGGAGCCTTGGGCTACAGGGAGGCAGGCAGCCGAGGAGGGAGTGGGGGACCATGCCTGGATTCAATCCCCAGCCAGTGAATGGAGAAAGAGATCAGGATCGGAGGGGAGGCTGGCAAGTAAGTGCAAGAAGAGGATAAATGTAGCATTTAGTGCTTCTCTGGGAGCTGCTTTGACTCTTTCTCACGACAAAGCCAGGGGGACGCTTTAATCTACAGGGATGGATACAAGACATCCGACTCACTGAATCAGTTGATCAAACTGATCTATTGACTATGCATCTGCATATAGATCTTTGCTCCCTGACAGCAAAAATAAGACTTAATAAAATGTTTGATGTTCTTTCAGGATACCCCAAATCAGCTGCCAGAGGAGAGTTCCTTCCCCATTTGAGCAGAAAATGGGTAAAGTGTTTATGAGGCATTTAATGTGTCAGGGAGGGATGCCGATTGTCTCAGCCGAAGCACTTCTGCCCAGGAATCTAAACTATTGTGTTCTTTCCCAAAGTTCCTGATTTATTCTGAAACGTTAAAGGAGGGATCTGAAAGGCAGGTACTACAAATGGCAAATACTTACAAGAAATAATGTGAATAAAGGATTTTTTTAAAAAGTCCCCGTGATGAAGCTCCTGCCACCTCTCTCATTCGGTCTGTCTTCCCTCCCCTGGTCTGGGAGACTGGAAAGGAGGCCTTGAAGAAGTTGTAAGACTTCTGCCCCCTTTTCTCTCTTTTCCTCTCAGCCATAACCATTTCAGTATAAATAAACCAAGACATTAAAAGACCTCTTTCTCACAAGCTGTAAAAGGAAAGCCGAGGCTAAGCTTCAGTTCTTATACCTTCCTGATCTCACCAGGTCTGAAACGTTTATTTTTGACCAGGTTCACACAAGATGCAAAGCCACTGGGAAGAGATTGCCTTAGCATCTCATGTGAACCCCCTCCCACTTCCCTTACAAACAGCCCAAGTACCCATGCTTGTTTTAGGGTTTAGCAGTTCCTCAGCGGCCTTGGGGGCCAAACTGGCACAATATACTAAGCCAACAGTCAAACCAATTAGTGAGCTTTATGGCTGTTGGGGCACTAGAGCCCAGATCTTCCAGGTCCCCAGTCCAACACGCTAACAGAGGGCACTTCCTGAAGGACATTGACTGAGAAAGCTTGTTTTTTTTTTTAAAGCTCATTATGTATTGTGCAAGCATGAGAATGCTAATTTTGATTTCACAAGTTCTGATCTGTAGTTCCAGAAACGAATTAGTGATTGCTGCCCAAATAAACAAACCACCTCCATGCAAGTAACTGTCTACTCTGGAGTACGGAATGACTCTGAAGAACAGAAAGGAAAACAAAGGAGAGAACATGACTGTTTACCTTCCTTAACAAGCTGCAAAAGGAAAACAAGTCTGTGCCAGATCCTGTATTGCCCCAATCCCTCCACGTTTCTCTTTATCTCTTTTCCAGGAAGAAGGAAAGGTCGCTAGCTGGCACATCCTCCTGAGCAGGTTTTTCAAAAACTTTGATGCAAAGTGTGCTAAAGCAAGAGCAGGGCAAGCAGGAATTAGGACCAGGGATCTGAGTCCCAGAGCGACAAGGGGTCACTTAGGTCGTGAGCCATAAATGGCTCCAACTGTGCCAGGGCCAGCCTTAGAGGGGGCTGCACACTGCCAGGAAATAACTCCATAGAGCTGACTGGGCCTTTCTTGTGAGCGGACAGATGCGGGATGGTGCTGGAGCTTTCTTCCCCAAACTCCTTAAGGCTTCAGTGCCCCGGGCTGGCTTCTTGGAGCTCTTAGGGCCTTTGCCAAGAACAGCCTCTGCACAGAGAACGCTTGCCACCAAAACCAAAACATGCGCTGGCTGCACAGCTTCCTGCAACCGCAAGAGTAAATGCCCAGGAGAGAGAAGCGAAACCGCTGCAGCAGGCCCGGGGGGGGGGGGGGGCTGCCGGAAGCCGGCGCGGGGCCATGCAAACTGGTGCCGCTTGCAAAGCAATGCATTGCAAAACGGATCCCGGCGCGTGTCCTCCCGGGGTTGGAAGGGGCCGAACCGGATTCCTAGAGAAGATGCGGGTTTGGGGAGGAAAGGGGAGGGTCCTCCGCAGGAAAAGCGCCTTCCCTCAAAGGCCCTTCCTGTCCCGCCTTCTTCCTCCAGAGGAGGGACTTGGGGCTTCTGCAGGTGCTGCATCAGGGCCTCCTCGGGGAGCTCAGGTGAGACCCGCCCTCCCCCGCCTGGTGCATTTGGGGAAGGGGCGCCCCAGGGCTGCGGGGGGGGGGAGGCCGAGTAGGGGAGGGCTGGGGGGAGATGCTCGAATGTAACCCGCAGCATGTCAGAGAAGGAGCTGATTTTGCACCAGGGAGGGGAGCTGTACCGTCCCCCGTTTACACGCATCGTGATTGCGGCTTGGCAACGGGGGTGGGGAGGTGGGGGAGAGATTTAGGGTCGGGCTGCGAAGCTGGTTTCGGGCTGCTCCGGGTTTGTGTAAATAATCCCCCCGCGGCGCCCTTCTCGGCAAATGCGCGTCTCGAGCCCCTCCCCGATTTTCTGCCGGAGCGGCCGAAGCAAACAAAGGTGGGCGGGGGGAGACGAGCCCCCCCTCTCCAAGGCTGGCCCTTTTATTTGGCAGCTGATTTGGGGACCTTGAATCGGGAGCATTCGTTGTTGTTGCAATGAGCATGGCCCGCATTTGCATGCTGGGAAGGCTGTGATGCACTTGTGGGGGGAGTTTGCTGAATGCCGCCGAAGTTCTTGGGTGGACTCTCTCTGTGAATGCACAGAGAGACAGGCTGAGGATAAATAAAGGACAAGGGAGGAATAAAAGCACTGCTAAGAATCCTGAACTAGAAAAAAAGCAAACTTCTGCAGGGCACTAGTGGCAAAACCCAGTTCCCCTGGGGCACAACACTTCTGGTCTGCTTGGAAGCAAGACGTTTAAAAATGGAAGTATACAAGGCAGTCCACCTCACAAAATGTGAGAAAATGAAATCTGCCTTTAAAATTATCCAATATAAAGCCAAACCTTTCCGCATAAAAGAGAAATGTATCTAGCTTCTGTGGATTTTTACACTGCCCGCTGGAAATCAGTTTGAGTAATCCTTATAAGCTTGTTTCCAATGAGTGATGGCCACACTTTCAACCCATTTTAAGGAAATTTAGAATGGATGCTTATGCAAATGGCAACAGTGGAAGAAGGAGGGAGGCCTCCCAAGGGAAGGGCAAGAGGGGAACTGTACATGCTTGGGGGACAGATGGTTAGAGATGGGTGGGTGTGGGGGCTCATGGACCATATGAGGCATCTTCTCGCTCTATAGCAAGGGACAGAATCTTTCCAGTGTCTTGCAGGGGAAGAATCTTTCCCCTGTCTTTAAGTTTGGGCCTTTACCTGCCTTTCCTTTCTGGATGAGACCTGTTTATCAGCTGGAGTCCAGGACATTTCCTCTTGCTCTGACTGTTTACAAATTCCTGTACAGAACAATGCCTTGCATTTACAGAGTCTCAAGAACAGCACCTCATTCACGCAGTTTTTGCCCATATACAGAAGAGAAATAAGATTCTTTGGCTTTTTGGAGCACGGATCAGAGATGGCTGGGGAGGACTCAGCTGGCCCTGAAGCAGGAAGAGACCCAGTCAATGCTGGGAACTGCGAAGAATTCCCGGAAAAAACAGGGAAGATGATCCCGGGAAAGGACACGGTCAACTCGCATGTGCAGCACCAGCGTTTCAGAGAGTTCGCTTACCGGGCAACGGAGGGGCCTCGACAGGTGTGCAGCCAGCTCCACCACCTTTCCGGTCAGTGGCTGAAGCCGGAGCGACACACCAAGAACCAAATGCTGGACCTGGTGATCCTGGAGCAGTTCCTGGCCATCCTGCCGGTGGAGATGGCCAGCTGGGTGAGGGAATGCGGAGCGGAGACGTGCTGCCAGGCGGTGGCCCTGGCGGAGGGCTTCCTCCTGAGCCAGGCCGAGGACAGGAGGCAGGAGCAGCAGCAGCAGGTGAGGGCGTTTCATCCAAGGGGGCCAGAATGGGAGGGGGGAGATCCGAAAATTCTCTCCTGATTGTCTCACCTGTTCTGGAGCTCACCCAAAGAGAGATCTCCCATACCACAACCCTGCATTTTTCCATCTCTTGTTCCATTTCTAATTTTTCTCCATATTCCATGTCCTGGATTTTCCCTGCCCTTTCAGGTAAAGAGACTGTTTGCAGAAGGAGGACCTGATTTCCCGGCAGCCAAAGCGACCCCAGCAGACACCAGGCAGAGCCCCCCGCAAAGGGAGATCAAGCGGGAGGAAGATGATCGTGCCTCTTTGAGTGGTAGGAATTAACACAGGAGTTTTAGGGGTGCATTTTGGCTGTTTCCAGATCTGGAATATAGAAGAGATGCATGGTCTGCTTTTATTTTGTGCAGAAGATGCCAGTCTCCAGCATTTTCCACGGTTCCAAGCTATGTTTAATATTCATCCTTTGGAGATATTATATAAGGAAAGCAACATCTGATTTGTAGCCATGAACTGAAATGGGGAAATAAGCATTTTCCCCCAGTGGGGGACTCTCAGAATGCAAATTAAGGATAAGGTATTTTGTAGTGCTCGTGAGCAGGGTTGGGACAACCCCGATCAGAATCCATTCCTCCCGGCGTTCACGGGCTTCCTCTTGTGCTCAGCCTGGTCTTCCAAAATGAGCCGAACCCAGAGGAAGCCCACGGTGGCTCGTGGTTCCCCAGCTGCATGAATGGCGGCCTTCTTCCTCAACCGCTGCAGCAGCCGGTGTGGAAGATACCCTGCCAGAGGAGCAGTGGCAGATGGTTTGCCTTCCTGGCAACCCTCCACCAGCGGACCTTCCTTTGGCCCCGCACAGCAGTTCTTCCTGGCTCCAGAGAGGGGTGCTGCTTGTGCAGCATGTGGGACCCCGTTCCAGGTACGTGGCCCTGTGCAGGGACCGTGCGGCTGGGCTGCTGCCAAATGGGCCACGGCCCGGGGAGCCGTGCCCAGGGAATCTTCACGGAGCCCCACACGCAGGTACCCCCAGTCCTGTGTGCTTGACTGGGGAGTCAGGCTGCTTGCCTTCCGCAGGGCTTCCTTCCCGTGCGTTCAGGCTTGTCCTCTCCGTCTCTGAGCCAGACACGTCCCAGAGGCATTGCAGCACCTTTGTCTCTTGCAGGGGCTGGATGGGTGCTGGCAACTGGAATGCAGCCCTCGCTTTTTCTTTGTGATGCAGAGGATTCAAACCAGGTAGGTGGGAAAGTCACTCGGGGCAGGCATGGAGCACCGCTGGCGCCTCTGTCCCCTGCCTGCCTTCTGGTTTGCCAGCAGGCAGCTTAGGATACTCAGTGGCAAGAAGCACACCGGTGGGTGCAGCCAAGACATTATAAGCAAGAGCAAGCAAAGGAAGGAATAGAAGGAAGCAACACAGCATTGGGGAAGAACAGATTCCCAAAGAAAATCATAACAGTCCGTCCCTTCTTCTACTGGGAACCCCAGTGTCTGACTGTATCTAACAAGATCAGCAGCAAAGCTGACCAAAGAGTATGTCTCCTGCCTCGGCTTCCAGTGACATAGAAACAGAGCGAGTCAGAAGGGGCCTCCTGGGCCATCTGGTCCGACCCCTGGCTCCAGCCGGCTCCGCTCATGACATGCCCACCATGTGCATGCCCAGCCCATCCTTGAACACCCCAACCGATGGGGCCTCGACCACCTCCTGTGGAAGCCCATTCCACACCCTCAGGTTCCTAACTGTCAGGAAGTGCTTCCTGGCATCTAAATTGAACCTTGGTTCCCTGAGCTTCACTCCATGACCTTCTGCTGCTTGGCCGAATCCAAGAAAGCTCCTATCATGGCTTTCTGCCAATGGCTTATCTACCAGTTTTGGGGACTTACAGCATCCACGGAATGAGGGCCGGGATCTGGCACACCCAGCCAGCTCAGTCGGCACGCCCAAACACCACTCCTGGCAGATACCAAAAGAATTCTGCATATCACGGCCTACTTGATCAACGCGGTGTTCTGCAGTTGCATTATACTTCCCACAGGCTCAGTACGTTTCTCCTCAGCTTCCGGCAAACCCACGGCCAGAAGCTTTTGGTCCAGTCCAGTTGCTAGACCTGCCTAGCCTAGAATCCCGTCTCTCGCACTGCCCATTCAGCTGCTCCTTGGGAAGCCCCTGGGAGGCACACGGATGGCTTTTCACAGGTGATCCCCCAGCAACAAGTTTTCACTGCAGACTCGTTTTAGTTCTGCGCTTTAAGTCCAGGCCACAGCACTTGATATTACCGGTGATGAGGAACCTTTTCTCTCTTCCAGGGTCTGGTGAGCTTTGAAGACATTGCCTTGTGCTTCACGGAGGAGGAGTGGGCCCTGCTGGATCCTGACCAGAGAGCTCTGCACAGGCAGATCATGGCAGAAAACCGTGGGATCGTGGCCTCTCTCGGTAAGCCGCCTTGTTTTCCTACGTAAGGATCATGTCAACTTCCAGCTGCAATTACCACGAGGAGGAAAATAGTACGGTTGTGTAAGGCTGCCCTGTAGGGATGTCACCCTTGGATGCCAGCATGTGTCAAAGTCAGAAGACGCATTTGGGGCATGGTCTTGCTCTTGCAGCCCTGCGGACTGGCTAATGCAGATCACGGATGCCTCCAGATCATTTACCCTGCATGGCTCTGGAAACAGAAGTTGCTTCAACAAATTACCTCCCCCAAATTGAGGTAGAACCTATTAAACAAAAAGAAATGGTGGCACGTATTTAGCAGCAGTACAGTTCTGGTTACCTAAAGAATACCACATACACAGACAAGAAGGTTGCACAGAGTCTCTGCAGAGGAATTCAGGGGAGGGGAGGGGAGGACGGACGGAAAGAGAGAGAGAGAGAGAGGGAACGAACAAACGAACGAACGAAAGAGCAAGCCAGCCCAAGGTGTTTCAGAGTCTCTAGCTCCAGATTATTCCTCTTCTTTCGCATGCTGAAGGGGGATCCTCTTGCTGGAGCTGCAGCCTGGTCTGTAAAAGGAGTTTATCGGGGGTCAGTTTCAGCTTGCCCATCCTGATGATGCTAACAGACTGGTTGGACTGGTGGCAACACCCCCTCCCTCCCTCCCTTCCCTCTTTCTCCATCATGTCCCTCTTAGCTGGTAATCCAGCGGTTGGAGGTACTGAGGGAACTATTAAACCTGATCATCAGTGCCTTTTTCTGCTGCTATTGTATGGTCCCACCTTAAGAAACCTAATTTGAACCCCCCGGACCATAACAGCAAGTGTCGTCTCAAATACATCATTTTTTGTAAGGTTATTGAGGAGGAGGAGTCAGGCAGGGTGCAGGTGCAGCAGGAAACGGGCAAACCTGTGCTGCCGAGGCCACGGAGCAGGGGCAGGATGCAGGCTCTGCAGCTGCAGGACAACTTGTGTTGCTGAAGCCAGTGCTAGAGGGGAGAGCTTGCGCTTACTTTCGTAGCTTGTCCCCAGGACTCCCAGCTGGTGCTTATCAGCAGAACGTGAGCTGCAGCAGGCCTTGGGACTGAGCCTGCAAATATTTATCTATTTATTTAAAACTTCCGTATGCCGTCCTATATATAAATATCTCAGGACGGCTTATAGCAATTTAAAAACAATTTAAAACATCTAAGAACATCCACCCACAGATTAAAACAGTAATACTGTGTGAAACAATAAGTAAGCATCAAATAAATTAATTAAATCAAAATAAAACAAAGCAAAAGGAACTGGAAGAATCATTATTAACTTTTAAAATACCACTTAAATAAAAAGATTCTGACCTGGCGTCGAAAAGAGTATATGCTAGTGGTGCTTGTTCTGCCCTCCAGAACAGCCCAGATCCTGGTGCCTGATCCAGATCTCCACTGTCCCGGTGCAATGCATTGTACCAGTTAATACCAGTGAAGAGAAGCAGTTAGACATAGACTAAGAATTGCATCCCATCTAACTCTTTTCACTTTGTCTGCTTATGAAAGCAGTAATTGAGGGTGTCCATTCCTTTGAAGTCCTCTTGTTACTTCAGGCTTTGACCAGTGTCTTACTTGCATTGCAGAAAGTGACATGTGTGAACTAGAGTGTAAGAGAGAACCGTGTGAGACATCACCAAAAAAGGACAGATGTGAAAATAATGCAAAGCAAAGAAAGAAAATAGAAGTAAATTGCAATATAAGAAATAACTCCTCTGCTTCTCAGAGTAATGGGAACCATAATACCAAAATTCAAGAAGAAATACAGAAAAGACAGGAAAATAATATATACTATATGCATCTGAAAACTTTGAACACTGAATTAAAAAATAAAACTCATTCTATAATTGATACATTCAAAAAAACTCAAACATACTTGGATTGTGAAAAAAGCTTCAGTTTGAAGAAACATTTAACTTGTCATCAAAGAACTCATATAGAGGAGAAACCATATAAATGCTCTGAATGTGGAAAGAGCTTCACTCGGCGGACACATCTCACTTCTCATCAGAGAACTCACACAGGGGAGAAACCATATGAATGTCTGGAATGTGGAAAGAGCTTTAGTGAGAATCAAACTCTCATTTCCCATCAAAGAATTCACACTGGGGAGAAACCCTATCATTGTTTGGAGTGTGGAAAGAGCTTCAGTCGGAGGGGAACTCTTATTTCTCACCAAAGAGTTCACACAGGGGAGAAACCCTATCATTGTTTGGAGTGTGGGAAGAGCTTCAGTGGTAAAAGATATCTCAGATTCCATCAAAGAATTCACACAGGGGAGAAACCATATAAATGTTTGGAATGTGGGAAGAGGTTCACTAAGAAAATAAATCTCACTCAACATGAAAGAACTCATACGGGTGAGAAACCATATAAATGTTTAGAATGTGGAAAGAGCTTCAGTCAGAAGGGAACGCTTAGTTATCATCAAAGAATTCACACAGGTGAGAAGCCATATAAATGCTTGGAGTGTGGAAAAAGCTTCAGTGGAAATCACACACTCACTTCGCATCAGAGGACTCACACAGGGGAGAAACCCTATAAATGCTTGGAGTGTGGAAAGAGCTTCAGTCAGAAAGGAACTCTCATTTCTCATCAACGAATCCACATAGGAGAGAAACCTTATCATTGTTCACAATGTGGGAAAAGCTTCAGTGGGAAGAGATATTTAGGTTCCTATCAAAGAACTCACAAAGGGCAGAAACTGTATCATTGCTTCGAATGTGTAAAAAGCTTGAGTCTGAAGAGAAAACTTGCTTCTCACCAAAGGACTCACAGAGGGGAGAAACCCTATCATTGTTCAGACTGTGGGAAGAGCTTCAGTCACAAGAATCATCTGACTTGCCATCAAAGAATTCACACGGGAGAGAAACCCTATCATTGTTCAGAGTGTGGGAAGAAGTTTACGCAGAAGTCACACCTCAACGCTCACCAAAGAATTCACACGGGGGAGAAACCATATACATGTTTGGAGTGTGGAAAGAAATTTACGCAAAAGTCCCATCTCAATGGACATAACAGAATTCACACCGGAGAGAAGCCACATAAATGTTTGGACGGGAAGGCTAGCCATGGGGCCTTTCCTTCTGTAGGTCAGGAGCAGCAGGGGCGAGAAGAAGGGGCATCCCATGCCAGGTGCGCACTGCAGGCCCCTGGACGCTCTTCCTGGAAAGAGTCGGGACCCCTGAAACAGTCTTGTCCTAGACTGGCTGAAAAGGTACGGGGGGCCGTTGTGCCAAAATTGGAAGCGATCGAACAGCCTTTAACTCGGCCGTTTGTCTTTGAAATGTCAGACTGGAGTGACGCCAGCATCGAGTCAGCCAGCGAGAGCGACCATGAGGACAGTCTGGACTTGCCAGGCCGGAGGACGCGGGGCGTGTGGATGGAGCAACAGGCAGCGGACGGGAAAAGGATGGCGCCTCCCAGTGCCGCTGCAGACACTGCCTCCCTTCCTCCTGCTGCAGCAGCCGGCTTGTCTCAGCCATGCAAGAACAAGGGGGAGGGGACCGCATCTCCTGTAGCAGCGATGCATTTTGTAGCGGAGGACCAGGAGCAGTGGAGAAGCACGCAGTTTTGTGAGCTGATTAAGATCAACCAAGCTGCGATCGAAGGGTACCGGGATTCTGGGGCAGACGTCACCACCGTCGCCTCGCAGAACGTGCAGCCTACTCAGGTCTTGGCAGGAGAGACGTTGACGGTGAAGCCCAGCGATTCCTCTAGTCAGGAGGCCTCTCTAACCTGGATGTGGATCAAGTATCAAGGGTGGGAGGAAAAAGTTGATCAGGACTCCTGGGGAGTGATTATGGGAAATGGCCTGGGCTATAGGGTGGCGCTGGAGCAGGCGAGCGGGTGCGGTTCAGGCCCTACAAGTGCAGAGACCTCAAGTGATGGTAGGGAGTCCGGTAGCTCCAGGTCTGCCTCCACCCACTCCGAGTGCTCTTCCGGGACTTGGGAAGGAGAAGGAGGCTTGCCCTGCCATCATGCCGACCGGAGCGTTAAGCACTGAGAATGTATTGGCAGAATGATCCAGGGAGGAGCAGAACCATAATTGGGAGACTAGTGGAGAAGCAGGGAGAGACCAAACCAGCTCGCCTAGTGGTCAAGCCCTTTGAGCCACTGACCCCACACAGTCCAGTTGTGGGAAGGAGGGGTGGGGAGCAGACATTCCCATCTCATAAAAGCTTTCACTGTGGGACAACTTGTAAAACTTCTTGGGATACGGAAAAAATGAAATCTGACCTTACTGCTCATCAGAGAATTCACACCAGGGGAAAACCTGGAAAGAACTTTAGTAACTGTTATTTTTTGCTTATATCACACAGTGAAATACAATGACTTCTGGACCATGACTGTTCCCCAAATATTGTGCAGGATGGGTTTTCTCTGTTAAGGGCATTCCAGATTTCTACAGGGCTCAATGTTTTGGCTTTGCAACATCTTCTGGGAGTCTGTAGGCCTATTCAGGGTCCCAGCTCTGAGGTCCCACAACTCCAAAGGCTGAGTCCCCACTTCACCTCCATCACACCCAACGTGGGTAGATGCATGCTGGTTCTATCTGGGCCTGAGAGGGGTCAAAGGGGTGTGCCAAGGGCAGGAAGGAGATGCACATAAGCTGCTGAATTCAGAGGTTTAGGTGCATCAAGGGAACACCAATAAACTTGTCAATTATTTTTGTAAAGGGGTTAAGAAGGAAAAAATACATACTCCAACACTAATTAAATATGTGCACTTTGCAGAATCCAGTTAATGTACCTTCAGGGGGTAAAGGATTGGTCCTTTGGTGGAGTCATGCACAAAAAGTTCCAGCATGATAAGTCCCAATGTTTTATGGCTTATACAGTGACCTCTTGAGTTAATACTGTGTCTCTTGAATTCAGAGATCCATCTGATGAAAGCTACCATTATTCCTAATTTCAAGCCATTATGATAAAAACTAGCAGGTTTGAAAGTGCTTAGTTAACACAATTCCCCTTTGTTCCCGAATTTTCAGGAAAGGCGGATCATTTCTTGGGTGAAAACTATTGATGCATTTTGTTCTGGGGAGTTCTTATTGGTTGGTGGGTTGCAGATCAATGAGGTTTTCCTGCCCCATTCAAGCCTATGGCAGCAGCTGCTCTCAGAATTAGTTTGGCCGTGTTTGATCATCATCTCAGGCTCCGGGGATGCCAGAGCTGCACTGTTTTGCATGGATTCTGTGCTGCACCAATGTACATCTGTTCCTTTAGTTCCAAAAAGCCAGATAACACTACGTGTTCCTGTGTGACAGCTAGGACAACGAAGCAGGCACGGGCCAGCCAACTCACTGGAGGAGCCCAGTAGCAAACCAGTGAAGTGTTGTGGCCCAGCTCCAGTTCTGCGGAGGGCCCTACATTTATAGCCAGAATCTGCTCAGAGGGGCAAAGCAGCTGTCTGTGGGTGCAGGACCTCCTGCCTAAGCTCCTCAGCATCCAGTGTGGGCAGTCAGGCTACCTCTGGGGAAGGAGGGAGCACATGGCCAGATAACCCTAGCGTCTTTGGACTTCATCCTGTGAAATACCTGCTGTACTTCTCGTTGACCATGAATTTGGGTGGTGCTTCAGCCTCAAGGAATCCTGAGCCCTCCAGCCTTGGGGCTAAGCCTCACTCTCGCACTTTCGTGTGCCTGGATCCATGCTTTGGGGCGATTCCAAAGTGGAGGCATTGCTTCTGGTTAACTGGATGTGTGAGGTTACTCTGGACTTACCCTTGTCTTTGGAGTCCTCGATTTGATAGGACTGGGTTCTCGGAACACGAAGGTTCCAGCACGATTTGTAAGGTTGGCACTTATGCATGGGTTTGTTCAGGTTTTTCTCCAGGATCCTTGCCTTCACCTGCCTGAGATGGATGACCCCAGGACTCATTCAGCCCCCGCCCTATGTCCTGAGCCACAGGGACAACAACGGGGAAACCATATTCTCTGGATCTCTTAAATCTAGCATCTTTGGAATGTTGTAGAATCACTTGTTCAGACTAGCTGAATGATTTTGGAGAAATATTGGGATTTTCCATAATAAAGAATCTCACTGAGTTGCATTGACACAATGCCAGAGTCTGTGTTTGAAGGACTGGGTTCAAGCCATGCGGTTCAGATCCTTGATGAGGCAAGAGAGGACCCAGGTAATATGGACTGTCTTTGCTGTTTCCAGGCGCTCAGTCCTCCCTGTGGATTTGTGCCTGGAAGGGGAATTGTGGGTGCATTTATGGAGGCTAAGTTGTAAAGAAACACAATTTGTGACGTTGCACGACATCAGCACTGATCGTGGGGCATGAGTGTTAAGTCATGAGCCTTTGTTTCCTTTTTCCTGGTGCCATTTCGTACACACAGTTTTCTCCACATTCTTAGAATCCTAGAACAGTAGAGTTGGAAGGGGCCTATAAGGCCACGGAGTCCAACGCTCTGCTCAGCGCAGGATTCCCATTAAAGCAACCCTAGCAGATGGCTGTCCCACTACCTGTTCAATGCCTCTGCTGTGGGAGAGCCCATAACCTCCTTAGGCAATTGGTTCTACTGCCATACTGCTCTAACAGTCAGGAAAATTTTCCTGAAATCTAGTTGGGCTTTGGCCTCCTGTAACTTGAGCCCATTATCCCAGGTCCTGCACCCTGGATGGTCAAGAAGAGATCCTGGCCCTCTTCTAAGTGACAGCCTTCAAGTACCTGACAAGTGCCAGCCCATCTCCTCTCAGTCTTCTCTATTCAAGGCTAAGCAAGCCCAGTTCTTTCCCTCTCGCCTCACAGACCTTTGTTTCCAGTCCCCGGATCACCCTTGTCGCCCTCCTCTGACCCCTTCCAGCTTGCCTGCATCTTTCTTAACTGAAGAGCCCAGAATTGGACACCGGATGAGGCCTGACCAGAGCTGGGCAAAGGGAAACAGGACTCCACGGGATTTGGACGTGTTCCTTGTACTGCTGTCCTACAGAGCATGTGTCATCAGCATATGTGCTTTCTTGCTTAGAGAGACTTGCTATGTGATGCCAATGAGGGGTAAATCTCATCCCGCTCACAGCTCTCCCCATCAGGTGCTGACTTTGGAAATCTTTTTGCTTTTAGATCGCAAAGTTCTTAATTATTAACACCTATAAGCCATGCATCTTTAGAAGGAAGGAACTCCTGCAAATAATCCTTGCAGACAATTGTAACAAAATGCATTGGGCAGCACCTTTGGGGATACTGAACTTCATAAGTGCTGTAGATCGAAAGGTCGCCAGTTCAAATCTGCACAATGGGGTGAGCTCCTGTTGCTCTGTCCCAGCTCCTGCCAACCTTGCAGTTCGAAAGCATCCAAATGCAGGTAGATAAAAAGGTACCCCTTCGGTGGGCAGGTAACAGCGCTCTGTGCACTTAGTCATGCCGTGTTTAGTCATGCCGGCCACATGAGCATGGAGACTGCAGACAAACGCTGGCTCCCTCGGCTAGGAGATGGAGATGAGCGCCGCCCCCTAGAGTCAGGCATGACTGGACTTAATGTCAAGGGGAAACCTTTACCTTACAGTTGATCGCAAAGCACTGAGGAACCAGAAGCGGACGTAGCATGTTTGTTTGTTTGTTTAAAGTTTTTATATGTCATCCCAATACTAAAAGTCTCTGGACAGCTTACAAAAAACAGAAAACCAAAAAAACAAAGCAACCATATACAACAAACACATTTTAAATGAAGCACAATGCTTGTTGTTCTTGCCTATTTTCTAAATAATGGTGAGGGAGAAAGTGTTGCTTGAGAAAGGCTGTGAGAGCTTTAATTGGGAAGAGACAAGTCCAAGACATTTCCAAGATAGAATAAAGAGACCTCTGCCCTACAACTGCTGAAAGGAGCAGTATTTCTCCATCTGGAGTATATTTTGCAGAATTTATTCTGGCTGTGGGAGTCACGGGCAGGAACCAAGAACATTAGGTGGTCTGAAGGAGCACTTACCTTCTGACCCCTGAAACTTCCTGCCCTCTCCAACTTCTCAGCTGTTAAGAAGCCTCTCCCCTTTTAAGTATAGAAATCCTGCGTTGAAGGAACTGCACTGGCTGCCTATTCACTACTAGACGAGATGTATGGTTTAGGTACCAATGTATAAACCCTAAACAAGTTTGAAGGACGATTCCCGGAAGAGCCCCTTCTGCATCAACCTGCCCACCTCCACTGAGGTCATAAGAGGCCGAACTGCTAGTAGAATGCAGTCCACACTAGGAAAAGCCATCCCAATTGGTCAAGCATCCCCACTTGGGGAAGTGAATTCCATAATGCTAACTAAGGGATGGGTGAAAAAGTTCTTTTTATCTGTCTCAGCTCCCACCAGTCAATTCCATGGGAAGCCCCTGGGCTCCGGTGTTATGAAAAAGCCTCAACCAAAATAACTAATTAGAGAACTGGGGTATGCCAGGGCACAGATTTCTCACTTTTTTTAAAGAACTCAAAGTGGCTTACATCATTCTCCTGCTCTCTCTTATCCCCACAACCACCACCCTGTGAGGTAGGTGGGGCTGAGAGTCTGTGACTGGCCCAAAGTCACCCAGTTGGCTCCATGGCTGAGTGGGGACTCGAACCCGGATCGCCCGAGTCCCAGTCCCCTGCTCTGAACCACTGCACCACACTGGCTCTCAACCTGCTGCCTGCATTTGTCAGACCACAATCTTGGTTTTGTCTCCTTGTGAGCCAGAAACTTAGCGCTCTACTAAAAATCATACCCCAGACTAGGACTAGGTGCTAAACTACCCTTTGCCAAGACCTCCACTGGAGCACTTCAAAACTATGTGTTTAGACTGGCCATGCTTCATTTATATATAACATAGAAATGTTATAATAATAATAATCGGAAGCCATCCACACAAAGCCTTTGGGATATGAAAAGAACCAATACAGATCCATCCACCCACTCCTAGTCTGGACTATTTCTTCACTTAACCCAAGATTAAATGGTAAAGCAATTTCTGCCCATCTTTGGACGCTGGGCGGCTTTTGCCCATCCTCCTTTCAGCCGCTTCTCTCGTTTCTGGAGGCCGAGTCCTCTCCAACCCTCTCTGTCCAGGTTTCTCCTGATTATCAGCTCCTCCTCCCCATGGCTCCCCTTTGGCTCCCTGTCCACACACTGTTCCAATGTCCCCTCTCAGTCCTTTATTCCATCAGCAAATCGGTGCTATTTCCTATTGTGAGCTTCGAGCTGACCTCCTCCAAGCTGGTGCCCTCGAAGTGTCATGGATTGCAGCTTGCGTCATCCAAAGCCACGGAGCGGAAGGTCAGGGGGTGTGCAGCCCAAAGCACCTGGAGGATCCCAGCTCAGATTAGGTTTCCATGCACACTTCCCGGGGAGCGAGCTCAGTGGAACTTGGTGGGGCTCCATTCTGAGTAGATGTGTGTAGGACCACGCTGGAGTTTACTATGTCAGCGGCGCCATCTTGCGATGTGCTGAGCTTCCCCAAGAGGCTGCAAGCGCCTGGCAAAAACAGCCTCCCCCCACCCCCGCCTGGAGCATTGGGTGAACGGCCGGGCACCCCTGGGCTGCAGGGAGGCGAAACAGTGACGAGGGGCTGGGAAGAATCCGATGGGGGGAGGTCCAGGTTCAACTCCCAGCGTGTCAATGTGGGATCTGCAACTGCATCCGAGATCTGAGATGAGCTGGTCCCCCACCCCCCATTCCACCCCATAGAAAGGCTACCTGTGTGCAGAAGGGGCACTGGAGAGAGCGCAAAACCAGGCCTGAGTGTACTCACCCAGCCTTTAGCCTTGGCAGGCAGGCAGGCATTTGGCAGAGAGGTGAGGAGTGGGAATTTGCTAAAAGCACCCACAGTTCTTTCTGATGGAGGCACCTGGACATGAGTCTGTCTGAGGAAGTGCAGCGCCATGGATGGGGGAGGGGAGGAAAAACGAAAAGTCGGTATTAAAAAGGCTCCGATAGAGAAAGAAAATGCTCCATGGAGCACAGCTGGTGAATCCCAATTTGCTAAAGGCAAAACATAAAAGAGGTGCCGCTAAAGCTCTGCAAAGCCAAGAAATGGTTTTATTAAAGAACTGTAATAGTATCACGCTGAAATGAAATGAGGATGATCGCAGCTAGCAACAAGTTTCTGTCCTGGAAGCAAAGGCAGGCAAATGAAAAGACCCCCAAAGAGACCAGAGAACTGGGGAGGATGTTTCTCCTCAAAGCCGCTGACAACATTCCTTCAATTACTTGCGAGTCAGTCTCACCCCACACCAGCACAGTGTTCCACATCCGGACCCCATCAACACATTCTCTCCCACAGCCTTCCATCCAGGTCCTGGCCCTTCCTCACCCAAACCCTCTGCCCCCCCCCTGCCCCCACCAGCCCTTTTATATAATGCCTTTTCCTTAAAAGCACGCTGTCTTTAAGCCCCTTTTACTTGAAATCTTAACTACTTGTTCTAGTGTCTTTGAGTGCAATTAATTTGTTCACTAATCATCTGATTTTTAAGTCAGATTTTTCAAAGCCATATGGATCAATCAAGCTTATATATAGCTAGAAAGGAATACATAACCTCCTTTAGGCATCTTACTTTGCATTAAATAAGTTTTAAAAACCCATCACATTTTCCATTAATTATCAGACAGAGGCCCCATTTCCAAGAGTCACTGTCTGGAACTGCATTATTGAGCAAAGTAAGAATGTCCTAATTCTGAGAAGACCACAAACTTTGCTTTCCGCAAAAACTAGGATTGACAAGCTGTGCTCTGTTGAGATCTTGTTCTTTTCCTTCTATCTTGTGCATTTCCCCCTTTCTCTTCTATTTCTCTCCCCATTTCTCCATCCTTGCCGTCTTATTAGAAATGATTCACTGCAGGTGCTGTTTGTAGGTGCGCATCCGAGTGCTTCTGCCACACGAGGCTGGCGTCATTTGCCGCCTTAACTAACGCCCACCGCAAGGCAAGGCATATAATGCCCAGTTGGACGGAGGGAGAGTGGGATCTTACAAGTGCCTTTTCCCTTCCCGGTAAGAATGCGCTGCCTTTTCTGGGGGAGGCGGGCCCTTGCCCCCAGCCCAGTCCAACAGAGAACCAGAGGAAAGCCTCAGCCGCATGCAGAACTGCACCAGGGGTCTCACGCTGAAAAGCGGGGTGGGGGTGAGCTCCCAGATTCTATGGGGACAAACACGCACCAGCCATATAGGCTGCCTCCTACGGGGTGAAAAAGGGGGGTTGCAATGGGGCATCGCCTGCACAGACAGGGGCCCCCCCAGCCCCTCCTCACTCGCCTGCCCCCCCCGCAGCGCAGCTTCCCTCTTGTGCAGCAGGCGCGGCCGGGCGAGTCTCAGCGGCCCCACGCACGGGAGCCCCCAGCCGCACGTGCTGCAAGCTCCACGCCCCCTTGCTCGCGAGGGAGGCGGGACAGGAAGAGCCTTTGCGGGAGGCGCCATTTCCCTTCCCCACTTTCCTCTCTAGGAGCTCCATTTCTATCTCTTTAACCCCTCAGAGGCCAGGCGGCGAGATCCTTTCTCCGCGGCGTTCCCAAGAGGGCGCGGAAACAGCTCGCATTGCCCCCTTCCGGCCTGCGGATCTTCCTCCGGTGCCGCCGCGGCGATTTCCCGTCCGGGGCGTCCTGTGTGCGTGGACCTGCGTGTTGAGCCGCTACCGCACCCCATCTCCCCGCAAGACGCGCGCGCTCGCGCACACACGCACGCGCACACACGCACCCACCATCCAGCAAACATTCTTGCTGCCTTTCAGACTGGCTCCGCATTCCAAACAGCTTCGTGTTCAACAGGGAGGAAAAGAACTACCCAAGGAAAGAGGAGATGCAGTGTATTTCCTACCTGGCCAGGCGGACTTCCAACAGCAGTGTGGGCGGGAAGGCGCAAGGGCCGCGCCCAGAGCTAGTCCCTGTTCTCAGGGCTCGCCCCCCCCCACCCCGCTGCATCTGGGACCATCGAATGGCTTATCACAATCGGTCTTCCCTTTTGATCTTACCTTTTCCTGCCTTGACCTCCAGGCTGCCACCGCTGGGGCTATCTGCTAGATGCAACCATACAGTGTCCCAGGAATTTACCAACCCTTTGCAGAAGACCCTGTTGCTGATTGACGGCAAAAGGAGAGGGGATGGCAGAGGATGAGGTGGCTGGATGGGGTCACTGGGGTGGTGGGTGTGGGCTTGGGTGGACTCCTGGGGGATGGTGGAGGACAGGACGGCCTGGAGGAATGTTGTCCATGGGGTTGCGATGGGTCGGGCATGACTTTGCGGCTAACAACCACAACAATCCCCCAATATTGTAAAAGAAACCTTTCTCTCTGTATCTTTCTTTTTTCTAGAAGTCTTTTAGATCCCCACCATGCTTATTCTCAGCATCTTTTTCTTTTTGCTTTTTCCAGCAAAGACAAACCAGTCACCATCCATCTCCTCATCTGCCTCCTCTCCTGCAATTGCAAATGCACTCATTTGTCCGAATCAACAAAAAGGCTTCTTTGTCTAGGTGAGCAGCGATTAGGTAGATCAGAGAGGGTGGCTTAACCACTTGCAAGACTTTGAACAGATGACATACACATGGTAGGCATGTCATGAGTGGAGCTGGGGGTGGGGGGGTGTCAGACTAAATGGCCCAGGAGACCCCTTCTGACTCACTCTGTTTCTGTTCCTAATGACACATAGGACACCAGTGTTCCCATTTTTGGCAAGGAAATGGACCTGCGTCAAGTTTTTCCCTCTGTACCCCCTTTCTCACAGGGTCCCAGTCAGGATGAGCTTACTGAGGACATCCAGGATGGGTAGGACCTGTATGGCTTATTTCCCTATTCCGGCTCATTTTCACCACAGCAGGAAGGATGGGGAAAGGAGAGGATTTCACACACACACCCTGATCACTGCCTTCCCCCAGCCGGACTTTGAGCTCAGGCAATGACCTCATGGATCTTTCCCTCCGTCACGCTGGTTGCATGCAGGCTCCATGCCTTTGCCTCCAGACGAAGCTTGGTCATCAGACAACTGGCCCCACAGGATCAGTGGTGCAGCTACATGGGGACTTTTGTTTCCTGAGGTACCCCCAACCACCCACTCTGAGCCACTTCTGAAAGGGGAACATGTTTAAACCAAGACAAACACGACAGATGCAAACAGACTTGCACATAAAGCCCAGTATAAAAATGTCCTATAGTTACGCATGTTGATCTTTAAACAAATCCCATATTTTGTGGCTCCTGGTGCACCAACGCAAGATCCTGCATGCAGACACCCATCTTGGTAGCTAGCTTTAGTTTCTCTGCCTGGTCAGTCCAGATGGACTGATACTCCAACGTCCGACAACCTGGGGTGGGGGGCAGGTGAGATCCGAATCTCCTGCAGTTAACTGGGGCCAAGCAGGCTGACACAGGCAGACCAGTCTTCTTTTGGGGACATGCCAGGTTGGGAAGTCACCTGATGCACACTGCTGCAAACAGCCACAGTGCCCCACCCGTTGCATCAGGTGACTTCCCAAGATCCTGAACCCCCCAGGACCCCTAGATGCCTCCCATACAACCTGCGTGCAATGTGGGTCTGACAGACTCGCCCATTACCCCAATGTCCAAGCCCTTCTTGGCATGGCCAGTGCCTGTGCCCCAAAATGAGAAGTATGGCCAATCTTACTGTCCATTCAGGGGACCTGTAAATTCCACCTTCATCACCAGATCTGTCAGGAAATCTCTATTAGCAGAACCAGGAGAATGTAAGTTCAGATTCACAGGGAGATGCTGTGCTCAGTCTCAGCAGTTCATTGGCAGGACACCCAGGTACGCTTCTCTGACAGAGGAAAAATCAAGTGCTGTTGGGTAGCCAGTAAACTGAATTGGCTACAAGCTTCCAGATCATTGACAGGATTTTTTTAATAAGTTGTGGATCACATACACAGTTTCAAGGCAGTGATGATCTTCTGAATGGGTAAGAAGGTGAAGACAGTGGGGAATAATACAGAAAAATTGAGAAGTCATGACAGGCATTAGGAAGGCTTGAGTAACAGATAAATAATCAGGAGTTACAGAAATCTAGCAGGTTTCAATGTTTTGGTTTTTACAATCAGAGATACAAAATTCCTTAAGACAAAGCATGAACTAGGTATTTTGACATTGCAAAGGAAGCGCAGCAGGTGAAAGAAAGCAGATGGATCACTGGCATAGCTTGGGGCACTGCTGCCAGATTTTATGTTAAAGGACACACAAACGCGTTATCATTTTATCTGAGGATTTATTTGGGCTTTCCCAACATCATGATGTGCAAACCAGTGATTGTCTTAAATAATTCCTCTGCCTTGCTCAGCCCAAGTACTCCATTACCTTTTACACTTAAATGCAGTTAAAAAAATAATTTGATGCTGCTTCATTGGTCAGTTTTGAGGACTGTTAGAATTCCTGGAATGAAATAATTCAAATCTACATGTTACATGCAACTTATTTATTATATTTCTACGTTGCTTATCAGCCCAAAGACTCTTTCAGTGGTTTACAAATAAAAAATACAATAATGAATATAAACATACAGTGGTACCTCGGCTCACGAACGCCTTGGTTCACGACCAAATCGGGTCGCAAACAAAAATGTCATTAAAATTTTGACGTGGGTCGCAAACTCTGCATTGGGTGGCGACCAAGATCACAGCCATCTCCCCACCCCACCCCCAAGTGGGGCGATGGCCATGATTGTGGTTGAGTTTGTGCAAGGAAGATGTGCGTGATCACGGGCACATTCCTACAGGAAAGACAGGTGCAATCTCGGCCATCTCCCCCCACAACCAGTACAATCGCGGCCATCTCCCCCTCCCCAAGTGGGTAGATGGCCATGATCGTGCTGGTTGTGGGGGGAGATGGCCGAGATCGCGCCCATCTCTCTCCCCACCCCCAGCGCTCCGCGATGACAGGCACCTGCAGGGATGACGGGTGCAATCTTGGTCGTGCTGGGGGGGATGGGGAGATGGTCGTGCTTGTCCTTGGGGTGGGGATGGGGAGATGGCCACAATCTTTGATGTTCTTTGTCACTTTGCTTCACATTTTTCTGATTAAAAAAAATGGTTACAGAACAGATTAACCTTATTTACACTGAACCTTATGGGGAAATTTAACTTGGCTCATGACCAATTTGGGTCATGACCAGAATCCTGGAACAAATTAAGTTTGTGAGCCAAGGTACCACTGTATTACAAAAATTATAACAATGCAATCAATAAATCCAATAGTACAAAAAATACAATAATCCACCCTCCTCCACTGCGACTAAAACAATCTTAGAAGAACAGTAAAAATAAAAGATGATAAAAATCTAACTACTGAAATATTGGGAGAATTAAAAGGTTTTCTCTAGGTGATTTATTTTATATTCAAACTTTCTAAAGGTTTAACTTATTCCAATATGGAGCTCATGAGGCCCAGATGTGAAAAGCATTTGAAGTGTGACAACTGTTATTTTAGAGTCAATAGCTATATGCAGTATCTTGATTTCCTTGATTTTGTGAGATACACTGCCTCAGCAAATGGAAGCTTCATTCTTAATTCACATTGCCAAGAGTTGCCTCGCTTATGTTATGTTAGTCACAAAGTCATGCTCGACGCATCGCAACCCCATGGACAACATTCCTCCAGGCTCTCCTATCCTCCACCATCCCCCGGAGTCCACCTATGCTCACGCCACCTGTTTCAGTGACTCCATCCAGCCACCTCATCCTCTACCGTCCCCTTCTTCTTTTGCCATCTATTGTTCCCAGCATTAGGGTCTTCAGTCCCTGTCTGCAGTGATCTTGGAGCCCAGGAAAATAAAATCTGTCACTACCTCCATTTCTTCCCCATCTATTTGTCAGGAAGTGAGAGGACCAGATGCCATGATCTTAGTTTTCTTAATGTTGAGTTTCCAGCCAACGTTTGCACTCTCCTCTTTTACCCATATCAAGAGGCTCTTGAGTTCCTCTTCACTTTCTGCCACGAGAGTGGCATCATCTGCATATCTGAGGTTGCTGATATTTCTCCTGGCAATCTTAGTTCCAACTTGTGATTCATCTAGGCCCGCCATTTGCATGATGTGCTCTGCTTTGCCTGTTCATACTGTCCATGGGGATTTCATGGCAAGGGCACTGGGGCGGGTTGCCATTCCCTTCTCCACTGCATCAGCTTTTGTCAGAGCCCTCTGCCATGACGTGTCTGTCTTGGGTGGCCCTGCACGGCACGGCTCATGGCTGCATTGTGCTGCACAAGCCCCTTTGCCACGGCAAGGCAGTGGTCCATGAAGGGGGTTGGCTAACTAGAGCACAGCAAATGTGTGCACAGGAAAGCACCCTGCTTTAGAAGACCCCACAAGCTTTGCACCCCCCAAACCTGGGACTAATTGGTTGTGCTCTGCCACAACTGTTATTAAGACTCTTTTCTGAACAGACTCCTTTCCAGCCGCCTCTCTATCGGGGCTGGCATTGGGACAGGCTTGGCTGGGCCCACACCTCTGCAGAGACCCACTGACAAGAGCTGCTCCCCATCTTCTCCATGGCAACCTGCCTGTTCAGCTGCCTCTGCCCAGACAAACCTGGTGAGGTGGAGGAAGCTCAAGAGATGCCCAGTTGTTCTTGCTCAGTGGCTCTCTCGCCTGTCAAGCAAGCAGGCACGACCGAGGAGGAGGGAGAGGAGGCAGAGCAAGAGCAGCTGGGGTCAAGGCAGTGGAAAGGTAGTCTCATGGAGGAAGGGGAATCACTGAGGGTGTCCAACCCAGGGACTTTGGGGAGCTTCTCTTTCTAAGGCCTGTCTTTCATTCTTGTACTCTTCCCTCCCCAGTAATAGTAAGACACTTCCTTGAACTGACTCTGCTTCCAGCTGCCTCTAGGCTGGCTCAGGCAGGATATTTCCTCCTTCCCGGGTAGAAGTGTGACACTATGATACAGTGGTTAAAGTGCTGGGCTGGGGAGATCCGGGTTCTAGTCTCCGCTCAGGCATGAGGCTTACTGGGTGACTTGGGCCAGTTGCTGGTTCTCAGCCTAACCTACTTCACAGGGTTGTTGTTGTGAGGACAAAACGGAAAGGAGCAGGATTCTGCAAGCTGCTTTGGCTTCCTTGTGGTAGAAGAGAGAGGACAGAGGCATAATAAATAAATAACAGGATTGTCTCCTGGGGCAATCCTCCCCCTCAAATTATTCTAGCAGTTATGCTCTAGTAAAAGCAAATGTAAAAACTAAAGATGTTCTGCCCGAAGTGTGAGGTGTCCCCTCATTCCGCGCAAGGGTAGGATCTGCCTACCCAATTTCCCCGCCGGGCCTCCCAGCAGTCCAACTGGGCCAGTAGCGAACCAGGGAGAGCAGGAATAAATCCACGCGGCAATGGATTTAATTGTAAAATAGCACAATCAGTTGATCAATTTGATTAACGAAGTCAGCGTTGCCGCTGGCATTTCGCCCCCACCCCGAAACCTTGCAGCGTCCAGGCTCCGCCAAGAGAAGACAACAGAAACCCCTGGTGAACGCAGGGGCTGGTCCAGGTTGCATTTTTTCCGCCCGCTCCATGACGCAAAACCACATCCCCCTCCCCGCCTTGGACGTGCTGGGGGTTTAATTTGGGCATGCCCACACCTGATCTCCCCCTCCCGGCTGCCTTCACCCGAGTGCAGAAAGGGACAGGGGCTCACCTGATCCCGGAATTGGGGGGGGGGGTCGCCAACGCAATGCCTGAAGCATACCAAGTTCCGCTTACTCGTTGCAACAAGGCAGGATGAGCAAGGCAACGGGGGCGGGAAAGCGCAATGGCGTGGAGGACCTGCGCCCGGCTTCCCTCCCCAAATGATCTTCCTCTCTAGGCATCTCCTAGTTCAGTTCATTTAACTCTTGGCAATCCGAGCAGCCGCCGCCGCCGCCGCCGCCGCCGCCGCCTCTTCTGGAGCTCTCACAGTAGGAAACGTGCATTGTCTGCATTAATGGGTGGCTTCCCCGCAAGCGCTGCTTGCAGCAACCGCTTGTTCCGTTGCTGACGGAGAGCTTTTCTGCTTTCTTGCGGAATGAAAGCGTTTCGCGTGCGTGTATGCGTGTGTATGTGTGGGATTGGCCTTCTGAGGGTTAAATGAGGAGCATTTCCTGTAAAGGATGGGGGGGGTCTCCTTCCGTCCCCTAATCCCCTTTCTCTAGAAATCTCCTAGCACAGTTCATTTAACCCTCGGAAGGCCACGCAGCAGAGGCCTTTTCTCTGGATCTCGCAGAGTAGAACTACTTTAGCGCAATACATTTACTCCACAGTGATTGGGAGGGGCGGCTTTCTTTGGGGTGCTGCCGGCACTGACTGTTTTATACTCTTTTCCACTCTTTTCTGCTCCCCCACCCCGAATAAAACTGTTCAGCTAATTGCTAGGTTCGCCCAACATGATAGGGCACATGGCTTGTGAAACTTTGTTCGCTGTTTAGAGCCTGTTCTTGCCAAGGAAAGGCCACAAGAAACTTGTGCAAGTCAGCCCAGGACACAGAAACATAAACACGGGGTGGTGGTACCGAAGTGCAATCCGGTGTATGCCTACTTGGAAGTAAGCGCCACTGACTTCAGTTCCCAGGTAAGTGGGTACCAGATTGTGCTCCTAGTTCTTCTGCGAAAAAGAAATTTAGAAACGTTTCCTTGATCCTGCTTTGAGAAATGCAGAAAAGGATCTTGTTGTTTGTGTATCCTCCATATACTCTTTCTTGGCCTTGCCTTGTGAAGCGTCTGTGCTTTGCTGTATTTCTAGAGGAATCCTCCAGGTTGCTGAGCTAAACCGATCTGCAGCCAAAAGTTGTATGGGTTTGTTTATTTATTAAATTTGTGTAAAAGCTGCCTGTTAGCAACATCTGAGCAGCCATTACAATATAATATCAAAAATAACATTAATTAAATGATAGACTTAAAATAACATAATAAATAAAATCAATAAAACAATGAAACAATAAAATTAAATTAAAACATATATTAGTATAATTTTAAAAAGCCATGCACTGATATAAATAGTCTAGTATGTATTTGCAAGTTTGACCACATCTCCCAAACCTGGTGCTCATCAGATGTGCTGAACCAGATGTTTCTTAAGGCAAGATAGGATGGGTTCCCAGGCTCTCCATCTAAACTTGTGCCTGAAATATCTGAGAAAACAAAAAGGGCTTCTTTGGCTATATTTGTTACTGTTGTTGTTAGTTGTGCAGTTGTGTCCAACCCAGCACGACCCCATGGACAACATTCCTCCAGGCCTTCCTGTCCTCCGCCATCCCCCGAGTCCAGCTAAGCTCACACCAACTGCTTCAGTGACTCCATCTGACAGCCTCATTCTCTGATGTCCCCTTCTTCTTTTGCCATCCATTGTTCCCAGCATTAGGCTCTTCTCCAGGGAGTCCTTCCTTCTCATTAGGTGGCCAAAGTATTTGAGTTTCATCTTCAGGATCTGGCCTTCTAAAGAGCAGTCAGGGTTGATCTCCCCTGGGTTTGATCACCTTGCGGTCCAGGGGACTCACAGCAGTCCCCTCCAGCACCACAATTCAAAGGCCTCGATCCTTTGGCGCTCAGCCTTCCTTATGGTCCAACTTTCACAGCCATAAATTGCAACTGGGAAAACCATAGCCTTGACTATACGCACTTTTGTCGGCAGGATGATGTCTCTGCTTTTTAGTATGCTGTCTAGATTTGCCATAGCTTTCCTTCCAAGGAGCAAGTGTCTTTTAATTTCTTGGCTGCAGTCCACGTCTGCGGTGATCTTAGAGCCCAGGAAAATAAAATCTGTCACTACTGCCATTTCTTCCCTATTTATTTGCCAGGAAGTGAGAGGACCGGATGCCATGATCTTAGTTTTCTTAATGTTGAGTTTCAAGCCAACTTCTGCGCTCTCCTCCTTCACATGCATCTCTTTAGATCCTCTTCACTTTCTGCCATGAGAGTGGTATCATCTGCATATCTGAAGTTGTTGATATTTCTCCCAGCAATCTTAATTCCAACTGGTGATTCATCTAGGCCCGCCTTTCTCATGATGTGCTCTGCATATAAGTTAAATAGGCAGGGCAACAATATACAGCCTTGCCGAACTCCTTTCTCAATTTTGAACCAATCCGTGGTTCCTTGTCCAGTTCTCACTGTTGCTTCTTGACCCGCATATAGGTTTCTCAAGAGACAAATAAGATGGTCTGGTACTCCCATCTCTTTAAGGACTTGCCACAATTTGTTGTGATCCACACAATCTAAGGTTTTAGCATTGTCAATGAAGCAGAAGTAGATGTTTTTCTGGAACTCCCTAGCTTTCTCCATGATCCAGCGTATGTTGGCAATTTGATCTCTAGCTCCTCTGCCTCTTCGAAACCCTGCCTGTACCTCTGGTAGTTCTCAGTCCACGTACTGCTGGAGCCTGGCTTGTAGGATTTTGAGCATAATTTTGCTAGCACGTGAAATGAGTGCAGTGGTGCGGTAGTTTGAACATTCTTTGGCATTGCCCTTCTTTGGGATCGGAATGTAAACTGACCTTTTCCAATCCTGTGGCCGCTGTTGGCTATATTAGGGGGGAAATAAAAAGATAGTGGAAAGGGTTGGCCGATTGCTTAAGTAGGATGGTGAATGGTTTGCTTGTGACAGTGGGAAGGGGTGACCCCTAGTTTGTTCCATCTTCTCCCATAAGAGCAGTTATGTTAAATCTAGTTCAAGTAGCACAATTTCCAGACCTTCTGAATACAGGAAGCATTTCTGAAAGACCACACCTCCTTAGATATCAAAGAATTTGCACAGGGGACAACCCATGCTACGTGCTTGGAGTGCAGAAAGAGTTTAAATAAGAATGCAAACCTCAGTAAACAGCAAATAAACTATACAAGGGAGAAACCATGTAAGTGTTTGGAGTGTGGAAAAAGCTTCTCTCAAATGTACATCTTATTACCACTGAATAATTTCTTATCACCTACCTGCACAGGCCACCTTCCTATGGGTGGGCCCTCTTCCCCTTCATCATCCAAGGTCAGATCCTCATCTGATGTGCAGGGGGTGAATTTGGACACATCCCCCTTACAGGTCTTCGCACCCCTCCTCACTCTCCTGCTGCCCATCCCTCTCCTCGCCTCTCCAGCCCAATGACTCCCCCCAAATACTCAAGGAAAGGCAGGAGTTCACTTGATGCCACAAGAATCATGGAAGCAAGACCTGCAAAATTTAAAAGAACTCTTGCCTCTGAAGGAGGAAGGGAGGACAGGAAGGGCCTGTAGGAGGAAGATGCACTTCCTCCAGAAGACCCGCCCCTTCTTCCCCAAATCCCCTGCCTCTGCGGGTCTCCAGATGTGCGTATTTCACTTAAAGGTCAATTCAGAGCTCAGAATCTTTCCAAGCAGGACTAACTCCCAGGTACTGTTGGCATCGATTGTTCTGCCCGGTACTATATATATTTTTGCCAGATCAAACTTTTGAACTTTTGTGCAATTTGTTTTGGTTGTTAAAATGTTGCACCCTGTTCAGAGGCTGTTCTTGTCCAGAGTTTCAGAAGATCACAAGAGATGCAACAGGTCAGCTCAGGACACTGAAATTTAAAAAGGAGCAAAAATGTTCTGCGGTAGAAATAAGCCCTGTTGCATTCAGCTCTCACGTAACTGGGTACAAAATGCAGCCCTAGTTCCCCTGGGAAACTGGAGGGAGAAATACCTTCACAGTAGGACATTTCCTTAGTTCTGCTTTGAGAGATTCAGATTAAAGATCCTCTTACTTCTGTTTTATATTGCATTTTTTCTATGCACATTTCATATATTAATTATCTCCTCAGTTGATGTTATTTATTCATGTTTTTTTCTGCATGGAAATAAATCTCCTAGGTGGTCCAGAAGAAAACCAGAAAACTACTGAAAAGGTAAACATCCCAATAATGGTAAGACCAAAGCACGCCATTCCACGGTATCACTGGAACAGGTGCAGTTTTTACAATGGGCATGGAAGGTGCCTCTCGGTTACATTTTCATTTGTGCAGAGGCACTTCGGTGGGTGGGAAAGGCAGAAGACGGAAGAGGGCAGGATAAGATTCCTCTGGAGCCTTCCTTGGTCTCCGTCTCCCCCAAGCGTCCTTGCCAGGTGAGATGCATGACTCCTCCCACAATGTTGGCATTTGCCTAGTCGGGCATAGGAATCCGAGAAAGCCAAAGAGAGGAAAACAGAATAGCAGAATAGCATGCTGGGAACAATAGATGGCAAAAGAAGGAGGGGAGGCAGAAGGTGAGGTGGCTGGATGGAGTCCCTGAAGCAGTAGGCCTGAGCTTAGGTGGACCCCGGGGGATGGTGGAGGACAGGAGGGCCTGGAGGAGTGTTGTCCATGGGGCCGCGATGGGTCGGACACGACTTCGCAACTAGCAACAAATCTTATTTATTGATTTATTTGCTGCTTTTGTATACTGTTGGTAGCTTGCAAAACGCTCAGAATGGTTTGATTGGTAGCATGACAGCCCAGCAATCTGCAAACATCCCCCTCCCAAAAAAAAGAGGGAGGAAGGGAGAGAAGAGACAGGTTTGACATCCAGAAGTTCCCTCTTGCATTCCCGAGCTGCCTGTCTGGGGATCTGATGTGGGGCAGTGGATTTACTGCTCATGGGATGCTTCAGCTCTGGGTCCTCATCTAAGCTGCAGTGGTAAATTTGGACATGCACCCAAGTATTGCCAGACTATAAAAAGCCGCCAGGGACTTGTCTTTTGCTCTGGTGGGCATGAGAAGCAGATTTCAGCTAAACATTAGAAGATATTTCCGAAGAGCTCTTCCTCTGTGGAGCAGACTCCTTGGAAGGCGGCCAGTTCTCCTTTGATGACGGTGATCATAGGATGAGACGCCCCCTGCCAGGTAGCGATAAGATTCCTGCACAAAACATTGGGGTGGACTAGACAACCTTGAAGGTACTTCCAACTCTAGCAGCTATCCTATCTTAAAATATCGTTAGCAAACAGACTCTAGAATTTAGGGTTTTTGCTTTTCCTACATTTCATTTTTAACCCACCCTGCCTCCAAGAAGCTCATGGAGAACCCCACATTTTGACTTCAAATCTTCCCCAAAATTGAGGTAGGTTAGACTGAGAGTTGTCCAGGGAGCTCTGAAGCGGAAAGGGGAACTGAGCACAGATGGAAGTCTAATGCACTAAAGCTGCTGCATCACACCAGGCCTAGAAACACTAAAAGCCCCTGCATGTAGACAACTAGCACATCATGGAACAGGAGCAGCATTTCCTGACAGACTACTTTTCTTCCTGCAAGGACCTATTTTTGCCTGGAAAAAAATTCTAAGAATTCTTGGAATTAATATTTGCTACAACTAGGAGCAGGGAGAATCTTCTCCATGTTCATATGGTTGTTCCTGTAGAATTTGGGAAATTGAGCTAACCAGAGCTAGCGTTCCATATACACCAAAATGAGGAGGCAAGCTGGACTGTACCACTTTGGGCTGCAGGTAGGGGATTTCATTTTGAAATATTCATTTTTGAAGAATTAAAATCCCTAGAAGCAGAAAACTGGCATAGCAGGAAAAGGGCTGGGTTAGAAACTCTCTGCTGGATTTTAATTTTCAGGGAGTTTTGTTTTAGGCTTTCATGTGATGGGGGGACATTTGAAAAAAAAATCTCCTTCAACATTGAGTCGCACTTTAGCATCCCATTGACTATGTGAGGTAGAGTTTACCAGGGAGGATAGAATATTCCAGGGACCCTTTCCGCTCTAGCAACTTTAACCACAATCTAACACTGCTTCAGGGCACCCTGCAACAAAATTAATGCACTAAAAAGAGGGAGGATCAAAAGCAACAATTGGGAAATATTATGCTGAGCTTACTTCCAGAGGAGAGCCAGTATGGTCTGCAGATAAGGGTGTTGGTCTGGGGACCTGGGAGATCTGGGTTCTAGTCCTCCCTCAGCCATGGGGTTTTGGGGGCCAGTCATTCACTCTCAGGTCAACCTACCTCACAGGGTTGTTGTTGTGAGGATGAGATGGAACTGTGTAAACTGCCTTGAGCTCCTCCTCAGGGGAAGATGTGAGCTATAAATGCCATGTGATGATAATACGGTCTAGTTCCCTTGGGAGCATCTCTCCAATATTTCCCTAAGATCCATTCCAGTCGCAACAGCCTCTGTAGGAATCACAGGAAAGAAAGTAAGAGATGTTTCTTTGGTCTCCACCCCTTTTCCAGAAGGCACAGAGATTGTGTGTATGTTTGTACTTGAGACACTTGTTAATGTACTTATCTTTTTAGTATGTTTATACCCCACCATTTTCCCCTACAAGAAACCCAAACAACTTACATTGTCCTCTTTCTTTCCATTTGATCTTCACAACAACCCTGTGAGGTAGGTTAGGCTGACAGTTGGCAACTGACCCAAGTTATCCAGTGAGCTTCTTGGCCATGTGGGGTCTAAAACCTGGCTCTCCCGAGCCCTGGTCCTACACTCTAACCACTAAACCACACTGTCACGCTAACCACTATGTGACAATTGTATTCATCTGTCCCCTTACCCTGCTTCCTGAAAGAGGCTTGAAATCTGGAGTTGGCAAAACTGTAAGCGAGGCCCTTTGGCTTTAACTTCTGTTCAGTGCTGTGATGGATCAGACCTCAGACCCTGCCCCTCTCCTTTCTAGAGATAGCTTTGAACAAACAACAGGGCCAGATGTGGCCTCCCAATCTGCACCCCTGTGCCTTCTGGGCTGACTTCCACTTGTGCTTCTTGAACAACACCCCCCACCCCATGTAAAAGAAGCTTTGGAGGGCAGAGGGAGAATGAATACTTGAGGACACCCCCCCACCCCCGCTTAAGGATTGGTCAGTTTGAATTCGCCTCCCTGGGCATTGTTCAGCCTCAGAAACATATTTTGGCCCTTGGAAAAGGTCATGTTTTTCCCACTTGAAAAGGGAAGAAGCAAAATTATGGAATGCGCTGCTGGGAGGGATTCGCCTGGCACCGAGCTTATACTCCCTTCCGCGCCAGATCAAACCCTTTTTATTTAACCGGTATTTTAAAAGTTAGTACTTTAATGTACAGTCGCTTTTTACTTAATTTTTTTTATTCGCTATATGTTATTTATTATTGTTAGAGATTGTTTTAATGCATTTGATTTTAATGATTGTAAGCTGTCCTGAGATGCTATGCATAAGGGACGGCATTTAAAAGTTTTAGATAGATAAATAAACAAACATCAGCCCAAATGTGTGAGGAAGTCCCAGACTGGGGGCTTCTCCCTCCCACAGCTTGTGAGCTGTTTTGGAGAGCACTTTTTTGGCCTCTGATCAGTAAGCTCTAGGTGTTTCAGCTTTAGAATTTCTCAATGCTCGAATGCTCGATTTTATTATTATTATTGTTATTATTGTTATTATTATTATAACATTTCTATGCCGCCCCTTGCCGAAGCCTCAGGGCAGCTTACAAACACAGTAAAATACAATAAAATACAAAAATAACAATATAAAATTAAAATTAACAATATAAAATAAATAAAAATATAAAATATAAAAGAAAGATTTTAGCTAGAGTATTTCTCAATGTCTTTCTGCTTGATCCTTCAACAAATGCATGATGAAGATTCGAAAGGGCAGTTGCCTTTAATTGTCTTCCCATGGGCTCACCACTTTGCAAATACCCTAATCAGTCTGTTAGGGAGTTTAGAAGATGCTCTGACAAAGGACCCCTCTTTTTCCATATATAAAAGCCAGGAGCCTGCCTTCTCCTGGGGGCAGGATAGCAAAAAGATAAGGGTGTGTGACACCTGCGGAAGACCAGAAAAGGGTGTCTTGCAACCTGTCCTACCTTGCAAGGTACAGGTGCAGATACACTGATGTGTCCCTTTGAGCACTTTCTGAATAAAAACTCCAATGATTAAAAAAAGAACAGGGAGATTTATTATAGGGCTGGGCTGAGGAAGAGTGCTGTGTGACTCAGAAAAGTGGCAGACTACGTTATGTTCATTTGCTGTCCATTATTATTATTATTATTTGTTAGATTTGCAGTTTGGGCACGTGAATTCTGAAAAAGGAGGAACTGTATGACCAAAAAAGGGGCAAAAGAGGACATGAATTAGCATAAAATGTGTATGTGCTAATTGTGTAGCATGTGCACATTGTAAATTGTAAGATGTGTAGATACAAACTTAGAAATAATGGTTATGATAACTGGATTGTTATTACAAATATATCATAAGCATAATTAACTTTAAAAGGAATACAGACTCGTTTTACATCAGACGGCAATCTATGATAAATAACCCCTGCTATAGGTCTGGTGTGGTGCTTGGACTGCTGGCCTGGGCACCTCGTTCCTGCTTGGCCATGAAGGTCACTGAATGACCTGGGCCAGTCACGTACTCAGCCTAGCCTACCTCGCAGGGCTGTTTTTATGAGGTGAAAATGGAGCCGTGCAAGCCATCTTGGGTTCTTCACCGGAGGACAAATGATGGGCTGTAAATGCAATGTAATAACAATAATAAAGGCAGTCCTGTTGTGTGAACCCAGCACGATGGCTTTAGTGTCTGTCGTCAGCCATGAACAACCCATGCTGAGAACCCACGATGTGTCATTAGGTTGCGAAGCCTGGGCTGTTTAAACCGTGAGCTCTTCTTGTTTTCCAAACCTTTCTCTGCCCACAGTTGGCCGCCAACTGTTCCTTCTCCAGCCGAAGCTGAGCGCACCCTGCTCGTTCCCTGAACAAACAGCTCCACCAGCAAAGGCCGAGAAGCCAGTATGGGCGAGAAAGCCGCACTCATGGCGTCCATGCACACGATCCTGCAGTGCATCATCGAGAATCACGACGCCGAGGAGGAGCTGTTCCAGCAGCACTTGCGGGTCCACCGGATGGCGGCCGAGGCCCTCCAGCAGCACCTCAGCACAGTCAGGGCTGTGGAAGGGGCCGTCCTGCACTTCGACAGGGACCAGCTGTGGGACCACACGCGGAGCTTCAGCCAGATGCACCAGAGGATGAACGTCATCGTGGAGAAGGCGCAGGTGGCCATGGCCACCATCGCCATGGCCGACCACCTGAACACAGACCTGTCCTTCACGCGCAACTGGACCCTGCCCCGCACGGAGGCCGTGTGGGCCTCCATGCTCGAGCTGGACAACTGGGATGACGCCCGCTTCCGCGGAAGCTTCCGGATGTCGCGGGAAACGTTCGACGCCATCGCTGAAGAAATCAGTCCAATCATCCAGAGACAAAATACAGTCATGCGGCGGGCGATACCGGTCAAGAAAAGGTTAGCTCTGACTCTGTACAAACTGGCGTTCAACCTGAGCTACCTCCCGCTGAGTACCACCTTCGGTGTGGGGAAGTCGACGGCCTGTGAAATTTTCAGAGACACGGTACGAGCTCTGAATCATCTGTATCTCGCTGACGTTATTAAGGTGGGAGATGAGGAGAAGAACATCCAAGGCTTCCGTGAGCTTGGATTTCCGTACGTGGGGGCCAGCCTGGATTCATCCTATATAAGAATCCTTGCTCCGGAGCAGCGGGGCCCGGAGTACCACAACCAAAAGTGCTTCTACCGCATGGTTTTGCAGGCTGTAGTGGATGCGAAGGGCAGGTTCATGGATGTGTACACGGGTCTATCTGGGAAAGGTCGTGACTCCTGCGTCTTCTGGAGCTCCCCAGTGGCAGAGAAACTGTCCAAAGGCACGTTCTTCACCGGTCCCCCCGTGATGCTGAACGGCGTCGCCGTGCGGCCCCTCGTCTTGGGCAGCCAGTCTTTTGCCCCTCAGCCCTGGCTCCTGGCCCCGTTCCACAGTCCGAAGACCAGCAAGGAAAAGAACTTCAACTATTACCACAGCAGGGCAAGGCTGCAGGCGGAGAGAGCCTTCGAGCGGCTGAAGTCGCGCTGGTGCTCTCTCCACTCGCTCCTGGACGTGGAGGATGACCTCATAGCGGACGTGATCGTCGTGTGCTGTGTGCTTCACAACATCTGCGAATCGAGGGGAGACGTGCTCCTGCAGGACAACCCACACCTCCCGGGACCCGGGGCCGAGAGTGACGCCCTCCCCGTGGAGCCCGAGACCGAGCAGCCCGGCCAGCAGCCGCCGAGTCCCCGCTCGGAGGCAGCGCTGCGCCGCGAGGCGCAAGCCGTGCACGCGGCCATAGCGGACTTCATCTGGGACCACAATCCGCACGTTAGTTGTGGCTAAGGTGCTGTGCCGCCACAGCTGGTATCGTTTTCCGGATCGTGTGGCCGGGAGGGGCATTGTGTTGCCAGCACTCCCTTCCGGCCGGGGTGGGAGCCCCGCTTTCACAGCCCGGTGCTGACAGAGGGGCTGCAAAAAGCTCCCCAACCTGAACCAGCTATGAATAAAACGTGTTGGGCAATGCGCATCCGGAGTGTGTTTTTGTCCTAAAAGTTCGGGAGCTCCCCTTTGCAAGGGAGAGGCGTCGGAGGGGAGGGCGGTTTGAATGCAGCATCAAGAGGAGTAGGTATATTTCAGTGCCGCTTAGCATGGAAGTCGACGGCCATGCGCAGGGCAAGGGACACAGGTTGGGAGACGGGGAATCCACGGACATGTTGATGTGGCAGTCGAAAGGATGGGGAAAAGTGCAGAGAAGCAGCGGGAGGAAGAAGCACGGATGAAGAAAGGAGCTTGTCTAACCAGCGCTTCAGGTGCGCTCGAGTGTCGCGGCCCTTCCAGCTCTGGACCTCAGTGGGCAGCAAGGGAGGTTTGCCGCAAAGAGTCTTCGAGGGGAGACAAGCAGCTGCGAGCGGAAAGGGGAGGAATTTGTTGGCACAGCAGACGCTTTCCAGAAGGCAACCAACACGGGACAGACCCTGAACCGGCGGTGAGGAGGCTGCCTTGCGGAGTGAAGCCTTGCACATAATCCGCCTAGGGCCCTGTTGGACTAACTTGGTTGCGGGATATGCGTTTAAGAATAAATAAAATAAAATACCATTGGGCTGGCCTTCAGAGTGACAAAGACTTCAGGGGAGGGTGCCATAAACAACCCGTGAGATGGGAAAGCACACCACGAAACACCTCAAGCTATAAACCATGGGCTGTTGTGATGTGCAAAGTGGCCCCAGTGGCACAGTTCGCATGTTCACCGGAGCCCAGTTGATAACAACAAGCCATGGGTTATTTGGGGAGATTTTCCCTCTGAAATGAGCAAGACTGTCCAGATTCAGATGATACGCCAAGCTATGCTAGGGCTGGTAATTAAGCAAATTATTCCTGCCAGATGCCAAATCGTAAATAGGTCACCATGCCTAGTTTTAGCTGCGTTTTTCCTATGAACCATTTCGGCCTAGTGCAGAAGACTTGATCAAGTGACTGAGGGGCCTTGCTCATTTTGCTATCTATGTGCAGCCACTTCAATGGAGAAGCCTCTGGCAATCTTTCAAATAGAGGACTGTGCTCATAAAAGAGCACTAGCTTCCACCAATAAACATATTGGAAAAATGAAGTGCATCTTTACAAATACGCAAACACACATGAAAACAAGTTGGCCACAACATATAAATGAAATCAAACGTTTTAAGCAAATTGGGACCTGCCCAGAGAGAAGCGTGTAGTATTTGGCCCTCTAATAATGAACTCGACAGTCATGATCAAGTTCCTAGAGAAAAGGGGAAATTTGGGGAGGAGCAAAACTACAGTACCACAAACAGAGAAGGGAGGAAAAAGTACTACAAGACTCACCATCTTATTCCATCTGTCTGGAAAGTGAAATGGCTCTGAATTGCCTTGGTATTGTGAGTTTGCTCCAAACTGGAGACCCTTTTGAGCAAAAGATGCAAAGTGTTTGTGTGGCCATAATCCTGTTTCTGCAGTGCAGGGTGGATGGAAGAGGCCAAGACCTTACCTGTCTTGTTGGAGGCAGGGAAACTGCACAGGTGATTCATGGAGAGGCTTTTGTTGGGACATGAAAACCTGCCCCGGTGAAGGTCGGATGATGCATCTGTCTAGCCCAGATTTGTTTCTCCTGTCTGGGAAGGGCTTTTCTGGGTCTCAAGCCCGATCCCATTCAGTGGAGAAGAAGAGACCCAGCAGTGCAATTTGATAACTGTAGACACTAGTCTTAATAGGGTTCTATTTCCCTGCTGGATCTCATGACCTTTTGCCTCCCCGATCTTTCCCTTTAGATAGTCCAGCGCGTTATTCCACTTCCTTCAAAATGTGCTCCGCCAACTCCCGTGCTGGGATCAGGAGCTCCTTGCTCATTCTCTTGAGATGGGCCCTGGGCACCAGCCCCACAGCCCTACCACTAGGACCTTCGGCCTGCAACCTGGGCACTATATCTGAGCCACACTTCATTTCTTGAACTGTTTCTGCGACCCCAAAACTGGACTCGGGATGCGATAACAGTGGATTCGCAGTCACAGGCCGTCTCTCTTTTCTGCAGATGAAAGAGAGGTATCCTTGTTTCATTTGAACTGGATAATCTAGGTGCCTTCCACAGGCCTGTGAGTTTTCTGGTCTATTTATTTACTTATTTAACACTCATATACAGTTGCAATAGCATTTTGGCTCTTGGGACAATTTACATAATAAACCACTAGGGTTTGGATCCAGGTCTTCTGTGGGTTTGTTTTTCAGAGAGAAAATTCCTCACATTAGCTATAATGATGCTGTTGTCACAAGTCAGAAACATACATCTGAATCTATTGATCTACCAGGACATATTTTGTGTGTGTGTGTGTGTGTGTGTGTGTGTGTGTGTGTGTGTGTTTTAGCTTGTTTCATTCCAGATACAAAATATTAGTTGCAAATCAACTGTCTTTCAGGTGGTTGATGGTAAAACCATAAAACAATTTTAATTGTAAAAAGACAAACCCCAATAACGATAGCATAAACAACATTTACCGTATTATTCCATGTATAAGACAATAATTTTTCTTAAAAATATTTACCTAAAAATGGAGGGGCGTCTTATACACCGGGGTGGGGGGGCAAAGGAGAACCGCGATTGCGAAACTGCCGGTACCTCATCTCTGCAAAGTCACCTCACGAGCGAAACTTCCGATTGCAACGCCAAGCTAACCGGTTTCCCCCACTCATGAGCCATATGTAACTGACGTCAGCTGATGCCGCGTGGAGCCAGTGCCCAGAGGCCAAGGGAGTGGTAATTTATATTATTTTAAGGAAGTTTATGTATGTTTGTGAACCGCCCCGAGGCTTCGGCAAATGGGGCGGCATAGAAGTTTCCTAAATAAATAGATAAATAAAGTTGGAGCGTTCTGAGCCCATGAAAATGTCAGAAAACAAAAAAATGAATACCAGTACCAGTAAGCGAACGTCCTACTCTGCAAAATTTAAACTGGAGGTAATCAGCTATGCAAAAGAGCATGGAAATAGAGCTGCAGAGAAACAGTTCAGACGTCCTCCCACTGAGTGTATGATCAGACAGTGGAGAAAACAGAAGAACAACTCCTGAAGATGCCAGAAAAGAAGGCGGCCTTGAGAGGAAAACCAGCAAAATGCCCAGACTTGGCGCAGAGGCGTAAGACTTGGATTTCGGAGCAGCGCCAGAGTGGCTTCTGTGTGTCACCCCAGCTCCTTCGATGTCGGGCAAGAGTGTTTGCGAGCGAAATGAAGATGGTTGATTTTACGGGAAAGGCAAAATGGTGCTTCAATTTCATGAGGAGAGAAGGGTTCAGAGTACTGGTATGTAAACACTGCCTAATCGCTAAATAAAAATGCATTCTATTTAATGCTTAAAATACCGATGTCTGAATTTTGGGTAAGAAAAGGGGGGGCGTCCTATACATGGGGGCGTCTTATAGATGGAAAAATATGGTAACACTAACACTGAAACTGTAGCCTTCTTCACAGTGTGACTCATAGAAGTTGCCTACCTAGTAGACTCATGTATCTATGCATTCTGATTATAAGATTGAATACCCAATGACAATTTCAGCACAGCAGAAAGAAGTGTTGCGCCTTTAGGCTACTCACTGAGTTCACAGCATAGGCAAAGCTGGGAGCCAGGAATGTCCGGCCCAGACGACTCACTCTGATTTATTCATTTATTAGATTTATCTTCTTTTTTTAATAAAAAAACTCAAAGCAGCTTACATCTTTCTCTTCCTCCTGCTCTCAAACGTATCCCTGCAACAACAACCCTGTGAGGTAGGTCAGGCTGAGAGTCTGTGGCTGGCCCAAAGCCACCCAGGTGGCTCCATGGCTGAGTGGGGACCAGCACCCAGCTTGCCCGAGTCCCAGTCCCGCATCCTTAACCACTACACCACACTGGCTCCAAGCTGAACATTGAGGATGTTCTTGTAGGCACTTATTCCCAGTATGCCTGAAGGCCACTGAAAATGCCACATGTGCAGAAGGGAAGTGTTTACCATTATAATAAATGTCTCTCGTGCCACACAACTGTTACCACAGTTCATGTGTTCATTTGGAGCCTTTTTCCTGTTGGGATTTATATTCCAAAGGGACTGCTGTGCCAACCAATTAAAAAGGCTTCGGCGAATGGGGCGGCATAAAAATGTTTTAATAAATAAATATAAATAAATAAAATAAAAAGCTTCCTCTCACAAAAACTTAGGTGTATGCAAGCTCAAAAAATCCCTATCCAGCTCAAAAGCCACAGAAGAGAAGCCAAGGTAAGGCTAGAGCTTAAGCACCTCTTTCCCCAACATCACCATATATTCAACGTTTATCTTTTTTTTTCCTAGGCTAAAGTAAAGCCAGGATCCCATTTTAAACATTTTTAAAACATTTTCCTTAGTGTAGCAATAGAAGAAGCAGGACTTTGAGGTGGATTTTAATTCAGAGATTACAGAGCCGATTAGGAAGAGGCCAAAGTGGGAAGCTGTCAGCTTTAACATCAAACTATTTAGGATGGTTAAATCCAAAAGGGATTGTGAAGGGTTCCAAAGGGATCTCTCCTAGCTGGGAGAACGGGCGTCAAAATGGCAAATGACTGAGCAAGAAAGGGATCTTGGGGTGCTGGTGGGCAGCTCAGTGAAAACATTGATCCAGTACACAGCTACTGTGAAGAGGGCAAACTCCATGCCAGGCATCATTAGGAATAAAATAGAAAAGAGAACTGCCAAGATCTTTCTTCCCTTATACAAATCCTTGGCGTGGCCACACCTAGAATGCTGTGTTCAGTTCTGGTTGCCTTACCTGGACGAGGACATTATGGAGTTGGAAGGACAAGGATCTGGAAGCAAATTAACATTAATGTCATGTTAATCTATGACATTAACCCCTTTGTCATGGTCAGATCACCTCCTTGTGAGATGCCGGCCCCTTTCTCCCTCTGTAAGGGCGTGGGAGCTTTTAAATTGGTCTGCCCCAGAGTCTAATGGATCCTGATGGATTCCTGAGGGCTCTGGGGGAATTTTTGGTTGATAGGACTGGCGCTCC